GTGTGTGTGTGTGTGTGTGTGTGTGTGTGTGTGTGTGTGTGTGTGTGTGTGTGTGTGTAGGCCCGTTTGCCCTTCATGTAAAAAGTTCAAATAAAGTAAAAATGTTGCAATGAGCAAGGGGAACTTGTTGGGATCACTGAAACTTAAGCAGTTCGAGGGAAATTCCTTTCTTTTACTTTCTATATTTGGAGCACACGTATGCTTTTGAGTTTGGATTTTCTACTCATAGTGTTAACACAACAATTGCATTTAAGCCCGTCTTAAATTTCCTTAAATATGGAATTTATTTGTTTGTGTTTCTCTCTCTCTCGGCCTGTGTTTCTAGCTTCTGGGTGCCACTGCTATAGAGGACAAGCTGCAGGAAGGCGTTCCAGAGACCATCGCTATCCTCTCTCTGGCTAACATTAAAATCTGGGTTCTTACTGGAGATAAACAGGGTGAGATGCACACAGTTTTGCACCAGCTTTCAGAACTTAGTGTGCATGTTTAAAACATTTAAACCGTTTAGACAAGGGTTTAAAACGCAAAAGAATCTGCAAAATATAAACTAATTATAGAGCAGCATCCTTGTGATGAGGAGGTTGTTGAAACTGAAAACTTTAAGCATCAGTGCATCTATTTGCACCTTGACTATGTGGGTGTATTGTCATTCATGTAAACATACAGTACTGCTACACCCCTCTTGCTTTTGTAGTCTGAACCTATTTACTGGGCTAGCACTGGAAAAATTAATTTCTGGAAGTTTATCATGTATTCTGTCATCACCAAAGGACCGTAGGCTGTAGGAATGAGTGCAGTGAATGAAAAATAAAGGGACATGTTGACTGACATGCCTGCAGCAGCTATTATAGTTTAAGGCCAGAGGCATGCCTGCAAAGGGAGAAGTAGCTGAAACGACGAGCAGTACATTAGCAAATAGCTTTTAACCGAAGCAGCACTTGTATTTGTTAGATCCTCTCCCATTCCTTCACACAGAAACGGCTGTAAACATAGGCTACTCCTGCAAGATGCTGACAGATGATATGACCGAGGTTTTCATCATCAGTGGCCACACCGTCCAGAGCGTACGGCAAGAACTCAGGTCAGTCTGGTTATGTGCACACTGTACTAGACTGTACACTGTGGGATCGAGATAAATGCCAAACTCCAGATGACGGGCGGGCAGAAACTAAGAAATGTATGCATGATTGAAGTCGGTAGGTGTGGTAGCAAAATGTTCCAACTACTCTGTGAGAATCACTCGACAGTGACCAGAGCTTCTTGACTCATTTCTAGTCAAATTATCCAGCTCACCCTGTGAGGACTGATTCATGACCCTGACATTTTAGATAAAAGCAAAAAGGAATAATTGAAAGAGATTTTTCCCAGACTTCAGTGATCATCATGACATGAACTGATAGCAAAGGGTTAGAGTTCCAGTCATCACTGATTATGGCTGAGAACTCACAAGGTTAAATATGAGCAGCATTGCAACATACCCCTTAACTATGAAGTCAGTTTAGAAAGTGAGCAAATCCAGTGTAATGGTGCAAAAGAATAAAATTATCTTTCAAAGATAGAAGAATTCTAAACTGGTATTTTTGATGTTCTTTGTGCAATGTTCAAATTCACTTGGAAAGTGCAATTATTCAAGTTATAAAGAGCCTATATTGGAATATCAGGCTCAGGATAAAACCTGCCATTATCACTAATCTTCTTCACATCCATGTTACTTTTCCAACTATCCCCTATGTACTTGCTTTTGTGAGTCTATATTCCTTATCCCACACTCAGATCTCTTTTTTTTTTTGCTGTGCATGATCATGTTGTCATGTAATTATGTCTCTGTGATGCAGATAGACACTGTTGATGTGGGCTTTGTTTGTCTTCCTCTCTAGAAGAGCGAGGGAAAGGATGATTGAGCTGTCACGTACCAGAGATGGAGTTAAAGAGGAGGGAATGCAGGGATGGAGGGAGCCATGTTTCAATGGAAATGGATTCAAAGAAGGACAAGAAGGAGGTGATACGGCAGGTGGAAGTGGAGGAGGAGTGGGGAAGCAGCTGCATGGCTCTCCCCTTCCTCCTCCTCTGCCTCTCTCTAACTTAATGGACAACATCTCAGGAGAGTTTGCCCTCGTAATCAACGGTCACAGTCTGGTATGAATAACACTCCTGCATGATATCTGTCACTGAAATTTAAGCTTAGTTACATAAAAACAATTCTTTCTCATTAAGTACTTTTCTTCAAAGCAGCAACTTGGACTCCTTTTACCGCCTGAACGTCTAAAACCTCTCTCCGTTGTCTTGTGGTAGGCCCACGCTCTCGAAGCAGACATGGAGGCAGAGTTTGTGTCGACAGCGTGCGCGTGCAAAGCGGTCATCTGCTGCAGAGTCACGCCACTGCAAAAAGCTCAGGTGGTGGAGCTCATCAAGAAGCGCAAGAAGGCCGTCACGCTGGCTATAGGAGACGGTGCTAATGACATCAGCATGATCAAAAGTGAGTTGTGCAAAAGTGTAACTGAAATATTGTTTTCAGAAAAGAAGAGAGAAGTTGGGTTTAGCCATTTGGGTGGCTTGTCTACTTTTAAGCAATGGAAATCCTAAGCAGAAGTACGGCTGTAGAAGTTGTTTATCTGCACGCTGTTCCTAGTAGTGATGTAGGTCATGTGGAAATCTGTGTTGCAGGAGTCCTCCTGAGGTAAAGGTTTGGTTGTCAGTGTTCTTTTAGGCCTTATTTACAAATTATTTGTTCACTGCTTATAGATGGATGTGACGCCGACAAACAAAACAAATCGACAGAAGTCACATTTAATTTTAGTGTCACTCCTAAAATCCCAAAACACCAAATATGTCCTGTTAAGCTTTGAAAAGATGTTTAGAAGAAAACGTATTTGTGTTTAATAGAAAGGAGGCTTGTGTTTGAACTGTTCACTGTACAAATAATTGTACTAAGACTGAACTATACTGTCAATCATTGCTTCATAATATTTATTTCTAAGCTTAAAGCCAAACTAAAAGAGAAAACTATTAATACCTCAGTGCTCTGTTTCTCTGCATGTCTTGTAATCAGTGTGTTGTAAGTGCATCAGCCTGTGTGTGTTTGTCTGTGGATGTACATCATGTCTACATATCTGCATGCAAGTGCAAAACAGAAATGCAATCAGTGCAGCAGTGAGGAGAAGGATTGGTTCACTTCCTGTAATTTCTGATTTAAAAATCTCGAAACAATCAAATGTTTTTCCCCCTTCTGTGCTCTTTTTGTCCAGCTATTGAAAATGGAACACATACTCAAGTTAAACTGAGAATTATGGTTTTGCTGATGGTAATGCTGGTTTCCCAATCAGTTACCAGCAGTTAGTGGGAAGTTTGTGGGAAGTTTGTGGGAACCTTGGGTTCCCAAGTTATGAAAACATTTTCTGGCTACCGCTTTCTTCCTCCACATAATGTTATGTGGCATTAGTCTTCTCGACAGGAAGGTAATGAGCATGCTAACGTTGCTAAGTTATTCAACATGGCATTAACTATAGCTCATAACCGAGAGGAAAGGTTCTCCGTTAGAAAATGATAAAGTTTTATTAGCTAGAGTTAGCTTTTGCCACAGTTTTCACTTATTAGATTGTGTAAAATACAGACAGCAGGGCCTAAAGGTAACCTGTTGTGTCCATATGTCCCTGTACTCTATTTCTTTACTCTTGGACTCTGCAAGTAGCTTTATATTATTCACAGTTTATAATAATCCTATTTATTTATTATTATGCTCTGGTCCTTTATGCAACAGTTGTTTTATTTCAGTCTTTCTTCTGACTGTCTGCCCTTGATAAACAGAAGGTTTGAACAGTAGGCGTGTGAGGTGTCAAAGCTGAGTGCACCATTTTGGTTTTCCCCTCTCATTGATATCATACACATCTGAGAAAAAAACAGTGTGAAACTTTTACCATTGTCTACACTGGGGCAAATAAGTGTTTGCCCCATTCTGGTTTCTTAGTTCTTTGCATATTTGTCACACTCATCATGTTTCAGAGGATCAAAGAAATTTCAATATGAGACTGCAGGCCTCATTTGCTTCAGTTAAGATCAGAGTTTGTGATTCAGCAATAAGAAAAAGATTCAACAAAAATGGCATCAATGGGTGAATTCAAAAGTTAAAAAACCACTAGTGACCAAAAAGAACACAAAGGCTTGTTTCACAAACATCAATTATCAAAAACATCTTGATGATCTCTTTTGTGAAAATATTCTGTGGACTGATGAGACAAAAGTTGAACTTTTTTAAAGGTTTGAGGGCCTTTGGCATAAAACTAACACAGCTTTTCATGAAAATGACATCATACCAATAATCATACATGGTGGTTGTACTGTGATCTGGGGTTGATTTGCTGCTTCAGGACGACTTGCTATAATTCATGGAAGCATAAATTCTGCTCTCTACTGAAGAAGAACCTCCAGCCATCAGTTCGTGCCCTGAAGCTCAGGCTCACTTGGGTTATGCACCAGGACAATTAACACACAGGAAGTCCACCTCTGAGTGGCTCAAAAAACACACAAAAAAATGAAAGATTTAGAGTTGTCTAGTAAAAGTTAAATTTCTTTGATCGTCTGAAACGTGTAAGTGTGACAAATATGTATAAAAACTAAGACATCAGGAAGGGGTCAAATCCTTTTTCCCAGCACTGTCTGTATAGAAAACTGGGGGGGAAAAAATCTCTTGAATTTGTCTTTTCATTTCATCTGCACGCTTCCAGGTGCTCATATTGGAGTTGGTATCTCAGGTCAGGAGGGCATCCAGGCTGTGCTAGCCAGTGACTACTCCTTTTCCCAGTTCCGCTTTCTACAGCGCCTCCTGCTGGTCCACGGCCGCTGGTCATACCTGCGTATGTGCCGTTTCCTCTGCTACTTCTTCTACAAGAACTTTGCCTTCACCATGGTGCACTTCTGGTTTGGCTTCTTCTGTGGTTTTTCTGCCCAGGTCAGAGAGTAGAGGTTATGATTAAAGCATACTGTAAAGGGTTACAGTCATGATTATAACTCTGTTTGTGTGTGTTTTTTTTGTAGACCGTATACGATCAGTACTTCATCACACTCTTCAACATTGTCTACACCTCCCTCCCTGTGCTGGCCATGGGGATATTTGACCAGGTCTTTCACATTTATTCCTTTGTATTGAGCTCTCATAAGATTTTATTTTACATTTCGTTTTTATAAAACTCCATGAAGTTTCATGAATCAGAAAATGATTTTCTTTTGCATTTGAAATCTGTCTCGTGAATTTTAAAAAAATGTATATAAGACACATTTTTGGCCAGAGTCTGTTGGACCATGGCTAAAAATACTGCACACATTGTGGGAGAAAACCAGAACAGACACAAAAAGGTCCCAGACAATCAAGTTCAACACCACATCCTTTTAACTGAGGTGACAGTACTCAGGATTAGCATGAAATATGGAACTGTTTTCACATGCTGATGTTAGCATTTTGCTCAGAACACCAAGCCACAAGTTTTGGCTGTAGTTTCTATATAATGTTATTTTAGTAAACGCAGCGTCTCACTTCCTCTATGAATGCAGGATGTTCCTGATCACAGAAGTTTGGAATATCCAAAGTTGTATGAGCCCGGGCAGCTCAACCTCCTCTTCAACAAGAGAGAGTTCTTCATCTGCATTGCCCAGGGCATCTACACATCAGTGGTGCTGTTTTTTGTTCCATATGCTGTCCTGTCCAATGCCACTCAGAGCAACGGAGTACCCCTCGCTGACTACCAGACCTTTGCAGTCACCACAGCGACAGCCCTGGTTATTGTGGTCAGTGTACAGGTGAGGAACTGTAGAGTGCTTTAAGCAGGCGACTGCCTCACAGAGTGCTGTGCAAAAGTGTTGAGCCACCCCTCATTTCTTTATATTTTACTTCAAAGGAGCCAGACTTTCTGTCATTTCTGGTCTTGCAAGGTTTTTCTTTAAATTACATTCCCAGTTTCTTCTCATCTAGTCTTTGTACTTAATTACTTTCAGAGAAGGTTCTTATTTTTCATTTGTATTGAAAATGACATCGTGAAGAAATAGAGATGCATCTGGCGCTGCAGTTTAGCCATCTACTGTTCATCAAAGGTGGTCTCAGTGGATGAGAAACTCTCTCTTCCTTAAGAAGAAGTGTGCCAAATTACACATGAACTGAACTAAAATAATCAGTGGCATCAGGCTTTATGGAAGGATGAATCCAAATGTGAAATTTTTGTTTCAAATCATCATCAATACGTACGGAGAACAGTGAGTCATCTATAAAACACGGTGGAGACTCTGTCGTGGTTTATAGCAGCATTTCAGCCAGTGGTGTTGGAGAACTTGTCAAAATTGGTGAAACACAGAAAAGTCCCATCAGATTTTGACCCGCCATGCAGTACCATCGGGAAAGCATCTGATTGGCAACAGCTTCATTTTTCAGCATGACAGTGATCCCAAAGACACTGGAAATGCAGTAAAGGTGCACCTAAAAACACTATGAGTCATGGACTGGCCTCCCCAGAGCTCAGATCTCAACATTACTGAAGGATTGTGGGATCATGTCGACAGAGAACAGAACAAAAGGAAGCCAAGATCCAAAGTAGAGCTTTGAGGCTCTACTTAAAGAAGCCTGGAGAAATATTCCTGAAGACTACTTAAAGAAATTACAAGAAAGCTTGTCTAAGAGAGCTCAGGCTGAGATGAAGATTAAAGATGGTCATACACAATATTAATTTTCAAACTCATTAGAATTGTGTATTAATGCTTATATCCTGTATTTCCATGTATATTTGCACAGATTTCAATAAACCGCTGCACCTGTTTCCCATTTTACTAGCAAAATATAAAGAAATGCAGGGAAGTGGCAAGCTCAGCGTTGTATAACAATTAATTGTTCAGGAGTGGCATATTAACTGTGAGCATCTGCTGTTTTCTGGGGGTTTATTCTTTTTGTTTTGTTTTGTTTGCATGTCTGTGTTTGTAGGTTGTTCTCGATACCGGCTTCTGGACAGTGTTCAACCATGTGTTTGTGTGGGGCTCTCTGGGCTCCTATTTCATCATCATGTTTGCTCTGCACAGTCAGACCCTCTTCAGGATCTTTCCTAATCAGTTCCACTTTGTAGGTTCGTCCCTGCTCCCATTTCTCAGCCACATGTGTACCAGCAAATCAAATACTGTAATTCTTCTTAGCCGATATCATTCTGCCAACACCGATTTGTTTTCATCGATAATTTACATACTTTTTTGTAATGAAAATCTATTTTGTGAGTCTAAAAACTAAACACAAGTAAGTTTCAGTACTGAGAATAGATTGATTTTGTATAATCTGATATCACTTCATTGCACCAAATGCATTACTGTTGGAGATAATAATCATGTGTACACAGTGAAAAGCAAGACATGTCTAAAACACATTTGTCTGTTCTCTGTCTGTTTGTAAGTGCAGGTAGTGCCCAGAGCACATTATTGCAGCCAGTCGTGTGGTTAACGATTGCACTGGCAACAGCAATATGCATAGTTCCAGTTTTGGCGTTCCGCTTCCTCAAGCTGGACCTCAAACCTCAGCTCTCAGACACGGTGAGAAAACACACAAAAACACAGCGTTTCTAACACTGATGTCTCCATCTTCTTCCTTGCAACATGCTTTACAGTCTTTCTAGAATGTCAGTTTGAACTCTGTGCAATGATTAACTGCATGTGTAAAAACATTTTATCTTTGTGTGTCTTTGTGTGGGGTGGTCGGGACTTATTGCTAACCCTCACAGTGCACTTTAATACCCTGCAAATATTGACCTAATCAGTTTCCCCTAATGTCATGACTTGCTTTCAGTAAATTCATCCAACATAAGTGTGTGGCTTTATCAGACGTTATGTCTTGAGCTTAGCCGTGCATCCAACCGAAGCCGATGTCAAGATGTTGTGAAGAAGTTCCTGCTTTGATTTGCATGTAGTTTCTCAACAGTCACTATTACAGATTTTTTTTATGATGAGGTTAATTTTGAGTTAAGTGCAAAATGTTCTGGGTTTCGATGACCTAAAACATGAGTTTAAAAGCAGCAGAAATAGTTTGATGAACTGCTGGATAGATGCAAAGACTACAAAGACTAAAAAAAAAGGCAGGATGCATAAAAGTTTGAAAAAATGTGATGGTTTAGAAAGTTTCACTGAAACTTTCAGTTTTTATTTTGTTGTCAAATGGCATAAATATTAGTTTGAGTTTTTGTTTTGTTTTGGGGGAATTTTTTTTGTTTTTGTTTTTTTTTCGTTTTTGGATTATCTTATTTGTGTGGCTATGTTGAACTAGCCGTGTTCCTATAAGCTGAAACGATGTCCCATTTCCTGTCTCATCGTTCTCCAGGTTCGTTACACTCAGCTGGTGCGGCAGAAGAGACGAAAGCCGCCAGGTCGTAACACTGGAAGCGCTTGGCGTGGTACCGGCAGTGTGTCAGAGGGCCGTCTGGGCGCCCGTGGTGGTTCAAGGAGATCCGGCTATGCCTTCGCCCATCAGGAAGGCTTTGGAGAGCTAATCACATCAGGGAAAAATATGAGGCTCTCGTCTCTGGCCCTGGCATCCTTTGCCTCCAGACATAGCTCCAGCTGGATTGACACGCTCCGCAGGAAGAAGCATACTCACACTCCCCCCAGCACCTCAGGGGAGTGCAGCCCAGCACCCAGTTTCATCTCTGTGTCGGTTCCACCACTTTCAAACTCTTCGTCTATTCTGGGCGGCTCTCAAGAAACACCGATCGAAGAGGAAACGGTTGCGGCACCAGCTCAGAACACACAGATGATCCCTGCTTCAGTCACACAAACCTTACCGGCTTTGGCACCAGATGCAGAAGCTCCTGCGTCTCAAGTTTCAGCTCAGGCCACTAGTTCTGGCGTTTTAACCCCCACAGCAGCAAAGTCCCAGGGGGGAGACTCACCTGGAGGCTGGACCCTTTCTCTGGGGACCGTGCAGGTCATTTGAGGTTTTATGATGTAGCAGTAACACAACAGTTATATAACAAATGCAACAATACACACTAGTACTTTTATATCTGTGTGATGCAACTCTTCTAACACCAAGCTAAAACATAACCTTTCTTTCTTTGTCCAACAGGAAGCTCTGTTTGGTTGGAAGGGTATTGCATCTCGTGCCAGTTCATCCAACAGTCCGGGCCCAACCTCTATTGCCAAGGAAACCAACCAGATTAAGTGAAACGTAAACATCTGATGGATGAATTCTATATTTACTGCGTGTACCAAACACACAAACTGTACACACTGTGTGCTTTTCTGGAGAGAACACAAAGACTGTTATTTAAATAAAAAAAACTTTACCCGCACAGTGTCTCAAAATGCATCAGTTACATCCGGATCTCTGCAGGAAGCGACATATCGTCTTATGACATGAACTTTCTCAGCCATAAATTAAGATTTACTGGTGAGATATTTGAGCGCACAGTGTGTGGTGGTTATGTTAATGAATGCTTGAGATTTACAGTACATAACTGAGGGACAGAAGCAGGTGCAGAAGCAAATGTCAAAGTAGCCTTTGAAAGATTGTTTCTGCTTATTTCACAAGCCTCACTCACAACTAAGCCACTCAGCACCTCTCAGTAATGAGACGAATGAGCAAGCAGAATCATAACAGTTTTAACCAGTGAAGTGCAAGCTGTATTATCTGCAAAGGTTCTCAATGAGAATGGTATTTTAATTTAAAGTATTCTCCCAAAGGTCTGTTTTGTTTAGTTCTTACTTGTTATACTGTAACTCTTCCCACATTTGCTTTTTTTGCATCACATTGATGTGTTTATGTGTGATTTAAAGCTAGGCCTTTTTTTTGGTCTAACAAAGGCCAGATCATGTTAATGTGCCTCTGATGTAACGCAGACGTAAGAACAGAATGGAAAGACTTCACTTTAGGCCAGTTCTGCAGAAAAGAAAAGGTAGAAGAAAAATAAATTTAAAAAAAAGTGATTTGTTAAATTCCTAATCATGATTGTTGTCATTGTGAACAGTAGTGCTTATCCGTACTGTAAACATATACTCCAGTAAAGTGCTTTATATTCATTTTTGTTCATGAATTAAAGAAAGGAAGTTGTTTGTGGACAATCATGCCTTAACAAAGCCAAGATATCGCCCCCTTTTTTTCTTTTATTTTTTCCACCCCTCCACTAATCCAAGTGTTGATGCACCTCAGACTTGGATAATCATTAAATAGGGTAACCAAAGGAACACTGACCTGCTCTTGGACATCTCTCTGTACTACGGTCAGCAACAGGCAGTTGAAACACAGCTCACGTGATCTGCAAAATCTGGTCTAAATGAATGTACTGTACAGTTTTAGCAAGAGGCAGGTCTCTGTGGAAGTGTGGATGTGAATGATATTGAATAAAAATCTGATTTGTCTTTCACATGAGGGAAACATGCTGCGTCTGTGCAAATGATTTACTCATCAAACGAAGTTTCAGGTGGAAATGACTCCCAGTACATACATATATATATATATATATATATATATATATATTAGAGATGGCACGATACCACTTTTTATATAATATATATTATATATGAAATATTAAAAGCTTCAGTCTGTCTTGCCACACTTGCCATTTTCCTTTCGTGCACTACAGTAAGAAAACAGGATATGTGAAAATATTTTTAAGGAACTTTCTAAGTTAAGAGATTTTTCATAAATGAATATTAATATAGCAGAGCTATATTCAGCTTTCGCTGGGTTGGGGGGGCTTATTTTGATGCTGAAGAGGATTTCCTCTGTGTAACGGCGCTGAACAAGGGGAAGAGCGCAGGGATTTCACAATAACGGGTCTCATGGACAGCAGACTGAGCCAACCAGAGAGAGCCGCCTTTAACTTTAACTGCACAGGGGGTTTTGGTGTTGCATGAGCGGTTTTCGTGGTGTAAATAGCTCGGTCTTGTTTTCACGGTGTAAAACGTTTGAGTGGGGTCAGTGTACAGTTGCTGCCGTCGGCGATGGTGTGAGGACCCGCCGCTGGAAGGAGGATCTCTGGGTAAAAATGGGGATTTTTCTCCTTTTGCTGTTCTTCGCTCCGGTCAGCGGAGTTTTTGAAGGAACATGTCCCAGAAAAGGTAACCTCTCCTCTCATATTGTCTAAATGTAATTTTTTTTCTTCATCTGTTTTCTTTGTTATTAAGAATAACAAAAACTTAGGCTAATTTAGTGACAAAGTTAAAGTTATTATAATTTAGGATTTTTTGGAGTCTAGTTTTGGAGTTAACTGAAAATCACAACGTTTAAAAATATTTACTTCATCGAAGTTGACTGTATTATTACAGGATAATATATAAAGTAAGCTTTTTTTCTTGCTCTTTCCGCTTTTGTTCTTTCGGGGGAAATGCGTTTTTATCCTGTTGGGAAATGTTATGACGCGTTGTAGCAGCTAATTTTACAAGCTTTTTTTTTTTTTGTTGTAAACTTTACATTTTATAAATATTATAGGCACAGAGTCAGGAAAATTCATATAAAAACAAACAAACAAAAATTAATCGGCCACTTCATTAGGTACACCTGTTCAAGTATGCCGGTCTTATCAGCTGAGCGGATTTACGCGTGTAGACGTGGACAAGTTCAAACTGAGCATCCGAATGTGAGATGATGATGTAGCTGACTTTGAATGTGGCGTGATTCTTGAAAGGTTAATTTGAGTATCTCAGAATCTGCCTGGATTTTCCCACACATCTGTCTATAGGGTAAACAGAGAATGGTTCAAATAAGAGAAGATATCAGGTGAGCGACAGTTCTCTGGGTGAACATGTCTGGTTGATGCCGGAGGTCAGAGGAGGATGACCAGACTGCTTCAGGTTGATTGGAAGGAAACAGCAACTCAAATATTCACTAGTTACAACAGAAGCATGAAGGTGTATAGGTCTCTGAATGCACAACACATTGAACGTTGAAGTATATAGGCTATAGCAGCAGCACATCTGTCAGCTAAAAAGAGGAAAGCGAAGCTATAATTAAAAGGGCTCATCAAAACTGGACAGAAAATATTGGCTGCTGTGATGTGTCAATTTTTGCTGCACATGTGGATGGTAGGATCAGACATAAACAGCATGAAAGCTTAGTTTTTATGTGGATCTAATTTTGAGCTCTTGTTTTTAATTCAGTTTACTGAAAATGTTTTGTTTTAATTTTATTTTTTTATTAGTTTCAATGTCAGTTTTAGTTTCTTTATTGACTGTTGTCTGGAAACCATATACCAGAGACAGAGAGAGCTTTTTAAAAGTAACAAGTAACAAGTTCAAAAAAAAAAAGTCAGTCAAAGCCTCATTAGGAAACTTGTGACAACAAATTTTACAAAACTAACAAATGTTAAAAGGATATTTTCTCTCCATTTTTACTTTATTTTAGTTAGTTTTCCAAGTTTACAAAATCATTTAAGCTCATTTCAATTTCTTCAAAGTATACTTTTTTTAAGTAACTATTTTTTTCACATCGAGTTTTATTTTTATTTTTAAGTTAGTTTGAATTAAGCATAACTTTCTATAGCGACTGTGTGATGTTATCATGTCAGTATGAACAGAGAAGGACTAACCCAGTACCAGCATATATAACATAGTGGCTGTTGATTCTACATCAGGCCCTTATCAGCTTCAGCTTCAGTCTCCATTTTATCAGATTTATCAGATAAAGTCTTATCAGATGTTTAAAAAGACACAACGGTTAACTGGGCAAGAGCAAAACGATTTGTTTTACTAAAGACTAAGGGGAATGAAACTATGACTTCAACCCAGTCAAGTTCAGGCAAGTCATACTAAACTAAAACATGTCAGGTTATAAGTGACTGTGTGAGGTCTGAGCAGAAAATCTGAAACATTACGGGGAATGTTAGAAATAATACAAGACTGAAAAGAAATGATGAAGATGAGAGACACGTTAAAAGAGGAAGTTGGGGTGGAGGTTATGCAATGTGTCGCTCTGTGTTGTGCCTAGTTAAATACAACCAGTACTGAAAATAATGAGATGTATGAACAATCAAATCACAAACATTCCACACACACACACACACACACACACACACACACACACACACACACACACACACACACACACACAACACACACAACACACACAGACAGACACACACACACACACACACACATCAAAAATGATTCTGGTTCTTATTAGTTCTACAGATTCTGTGTTTGTGTGTTTTTCTGCAGACCCTCCTCCAGGTGTGTTGGTCTTATCGCCGGGCAGTACGCTGTTTCTGACCTTTGGCGGTCATGTGAGGGTGGATGGTGTAAAGATCAGTCTGAAGGGAAGCAGCCTAAACATCAACAAAAGGGATGGTTCTTCGAACGGGACACCAGCCGCTCCAAATGATATACAAAACAGTGCAGTTTCAGTCAAAAGTGATGACAGTTCTCTGAAGAATGTAAGTGAGGGCTACAGCCCTCATTTCACGGAGGCAGGAGGAAACAGAAGCCTCATATATTCAGATGCAGGATACACAACTTCTCCTCACATCGTCCAGCCAACCAGGGCCACTCGATCGCTGAAGGACGAATCTCATTGGACCACTGGAGAAACAGATGTTGAGGATGACTATGAGGAGGATGAAGAGGATGAAGTGGGGGAAGGAGTGAACCGGGTAACAAGGGGGATAAAAGTGATGCCTGAGTGGAAGTGGAACACGATGACAGTGGGGACAGAAGACAGGGACTGGGGTGAAATTAAATTCGGGAGGAGTGGGACAACGCTAACTCTGGCCTCACTGAGAATGGAAGACTCTGGAAAATACAGTTGTCATCACAAAGGCAAAGAAAAGTTTAGCTTAAAGGTGATCGTTGCAGGTGAGTTCTCATAGTGAGGACTTTGTGATGGAGGAGGAAGGTTATATAATTCCATCCATGCTTTTATTTTCAAATAAAAAGCCTATAGGTGGAAGGCAAATGACTTTAAAATCCATCTTTTAAATCCAGCTCAGAACTTGTATATCATTGGGTCAGGATTGATGTTGTACACACGACTCACTGATAGACAAACAGTAAACAAACCAGCGGGTGAACTGTGACTTTAAATGTTTTTGGGCAAATTTCAAATTTTAAATAGTGACACCAAAAATATTTTGCAGTTTAGCAGTTTTAGGGTCTTTACCTTGCGATATAAAGCTTGCCTTGAGGCAACTGTTGCCGTGATTTGGTGCTATATAAATAAAATTGATTTGAACTGAACTGCTTATGCACAGCTCTCCTGAAGCCCCATCACAGCATACCAGTCAGGCTGAGGTCGGGACTGGGCCATTGTAACACATTGATTCTTTTCTTTTTCAGATATGTTATAGCTTTGCTGCTGTGCTTGCTCGTCGTCCTGTTGCATGAGCCAGTATGGGTCAACATTTGGCTGTAAAACAGAAGGCCTCACATTTGACTCTAGAATACTTTTTTTTTTACATAGAAGTATTCACGGTTGACTCAATATCTGTAAGGCACCCAGGTCCTGTGGCTAAATAACAAGCCCAGATCATCACTCCACTGTTGTGCCAGACTGTTGCTGATATGCATCACCAAACGTGGTGTTGTGACTATCGTCTGTGCAAAGTTCATTGTTCCCAAATTCTTCTGGTTTGTTTACATGCCACTTTGCAAATCTAAGTCATGCTGCCATGATCTTTTTAAGAGAGTAGAGGCTTTCTCCTGGCAGCCATTAAAACAACACATAGTTCAGTCTTTTTCTAATCGTGCTGTCATGAAGGCCAACAATATAACAAACTACCTGAGGGCTGTAGAGCCTGAGAGGACCCTATTTGGATAATTGATTTTTAAAAATGGATGGGTGAACAGTGTGTTTACATGTCTTCTTTATCTCTTAGATTCTCCTGAGCCTCCCAGTCTGTTCTGCTACAAAAAGTCGCCCAGTAGTAAAATCCGCTGTGAAGGAATGCCTCAGAAAGCCGCCATAAAGCAGCCTAGTTGTTACCTCTTGCTGAGTAAAAAGTAAGTTCATTGCACTTGAAGTCCCCCATGAGTGCTTTGTGTCGTGTTTTAAAAGGATCATCAAGTAATATTTTGCTCCTGTATTTACATACATACAGGAAAACTGATGTGTGCAAGCCATGGATAAAAAAATGTGCATACTGTGGTTGTTCTCGATCAATATTGGTGTATGTTGCAAAACTTCTGTAATCTTGTGCAGTCAAAATGCTAACATTGCTCTTACATTAATAAATACTATTTCCAGTAAACTACTTGAGATCAAAAATTAAAAAGAAAAAAAGTATGAAAGTTGTAAATGGGCCTAATGTAGTAGAAATGTTGTTGTAGGCCACTTTCTCTTTTCCTTTATGTCCATCTTTGTGTGACTGACTGTTCTTTTCCTTTCCTTCTCTCAGTCCAAGAGAGAAATTCAAGCGAGTGTCATGCTCATACTCATCTCGGCTCTCTCGCTGTTGGTGTGCTCTGGACCACATTGAG